TTTCACTGTGTCTGTTGGTTCTCCCTGTGCTTTCTGATTTGCTGGAACAAAACCACCCTGAACCATCAGGCCGTTCAAGACCAAATTCTGAAGCAGGTGAAGCGGACGGCGGGACCCTGTCATGTCACCCTCACTCTTCCCGCCTTTCTACCTTCCTCGCCTGCGAAGCAAGCACCCACGATGCTCATGGCTCGGGGACATATGAGGGGGTTGCTCTTTACAGTGGACGCTCATGCCAATTAGATAATAAGAAGCTAAGGTCCAGAGGGCGGGTCTCTGAGCTGAGCTCTCAGGGATGGGCACGGGAGGGGCTGGTTCGGGTAAAGCCTATTCCTTGTTCTGGGCACGTCACACCCGAGAGCACCGCCCACTCCCAGCGGTATGGCCTGGCTCTTTGATTGATGTTTTGTTTTGCATTTTGTTGGGTAACCGACAGCCCCAGCCCCCCGACGGCTGCCAGGGGTGTGTAAGCTGCCACACGGGAGGTGTGGAGGCTCATGGATTTCTCCCTCACGTGTGTGCAGAGGTGGCCAGAGGAATCGGTTAAAGCCGGGGCCAGAGGCAGCAAAGAAGGTGGCAGAGGGGTGGGCGGGAGGCGCAGGCAGAAAGGAAACTGATCTGATGACTCCCCTGCTGGCTGGCGGCGTTGATGCAGCACAGGCTGCTGCTGGTGTTGAATGTAGAAGCGGGGGAGGGGTGGGGTGGGGTGGGGGGTGTGTGGGGTGTGTGGGGGTGAGAGTGGGGGGTTGGGGGGAGGGAGGTGAGAGAGCTCTCCCCTGACCAGGCCCCCCCCCCCTTCCCCCAGACCTGGGCAGGAGGCCTCATCGGAGCCCTCCTGTGGGTGGGCAGGTGGGAGGGGCTGGGGACCACCACTGTCCCCACAGGGCTGGGAGGCGAGGCTGCCTCTAAGGAAGCTGGCTTATCTCTCCTGGGTCACGTGCCACCTGGAGCCTCAGCTGTGCAGGCCGGAGCCGAGCCCGTGAGGACCACGTCAGTGACCATGAGTGGTGCCTGCGCCGGGAGTCAGAGGCCCCGGCTGAAGAACGGAGCCAGGGACGACTCCGGCCGGGGGGGCACCGGCGAGGGCATCACTCAGCCCCTGGCATTCAGCCTTGAGGGTGAAGAAGGGAGCTGAAGCCGGTGGGCAGCCGAGCAGACGCAGACCGAGGCCACGGCTGTGATCAATGGCAGCCCCTTGGCCTACAGTCTGGTCCGTGTTGGTTCTCTATGGCGAGAAATATTTAGTAAGTTACTGAGCTGTCAATGCTCATGTTGTATGACTACTCCAAGGCAAGCTTTAAAAACAACACTTTAAAAGTTAACTGATAACACTCCAGCTGATCAAACGCTTCTTCCCTCTGGTGTCTTCGGCCGTCGAATGAACACCTTTGCCGGAGCCGCTGCTGAAGTCCGACTTTTCCTAGCTCCACACTCGGGGCGCCAGTGTAGCGGGGGCTCGGGGGGCTGTCTGGGGCGCCTCCATTACTTCCCCCCTCCCCTTTCCAGGTGCGAAGGTCCCTGATGACCTGCTCACTCTGGCTGCCGGGAGGGGCTGTGCAAGAAGAAAGGCCGTCTTCGCGGTGAAGGCCTGGACTCCCGTGACTGGACGGGAGGCTCTCACGGTGCACCACGCTCTGAGAGGCGTGTCTTCCTGCCACGGTGGGCGTGGCTTTGCGGTGGCAGGTGCATGGTTTTGGAGGCTCGCTGTGCACGATTGGCGGGCAGGGTGCAGCCCTCACAGCGTTTGGGCGAGGTCATCCTGGCAAACATGCCTCCCCCCTCCCCCCCCGTGTCATCTATCAAATAGCTTTACTTGGTGGTTCCTCTCGTCCCTTCAGAGCAGCCATCGGACTCCCTGGATCAGACGGCCTCCCTTCTCCTGGGCTCAGCGTGGGCCCTTGTCCGGGTGCGGGTGGGTGGAGGGCTCATTCACGCCCTGCTTGAGTCCCGTTCTTCTACGTCGGTAACACGAGGCATTGATACTTACGGAGCAGCCTGGGCCCACGCCCATCAGACGATCCTCTTGTAATAACTGCGGACCCCTCGTCGAGACCGGCCACGTGAAGGCTGACGTTTCTATTTCCCGTGCTGAGGACACTTTGAATACAGGAAGCCAGCAGGTTGGATTCCTTTCATTCCTGGTGGCATTGTTTGGTGTTTGATTCAGGGAGTACTTCCTAGATATATTTACACAGGAGACAGGCTCAGCGTGTTGTCTGGAGGGGTGGTGTGTGCACAGCTCACGGTCCAGTGTCAGGACTGTAAGCTGAGGTGTATGTGCATGTGTGTGTGTATGTGTGCGCACGTGTGTGTGACGTGTGTGCGTGCGCCTTGGAGCTGGCTGTGGATGTAAACTCGGGCTCTACAGCTCTTAGACATCTCACCCTGAACACCTCCAGTCAGGTGGGTTGGGGTGGCGGCAGGCAGCCTGCAGAGGGAAGCCTTCAATTTCATCCTGGAAAGTTCTCGTAGCAAATGAAGGACTGGCAAGCAACCCCTGGTCCCGCTTAGCAAACTGTCGATGATGAGTCAACAACAAAAAAGCAGGTCTGCCCTGGCCGGGCTGCTCAGCGGTTAGAGCACTGGCCCATGGATGAAGGGTTGTAGGCTTGATCCTGGCCCAGGTCGGGGCATGTGCAGGAGGCAACCAATCCGCATGTCTCTCTCACATCGATGTTTCTCTCTGTCTCCACCCCTTCCTTCCAACTCTCTAAAAATCAGTGGGGAAAAGATACCTTTGGTTGAGGCTTAACAAATAAACAAACAAAAGCAGCTCTATGTCTTCAGGCAGCCCTACGTTTCTCTGACTCTAACCTGCTATCGGTGTGTTTGTGCCGTCATCATATATCTCATTAGGGAAGAAAAACCATTCTCATCACTACGGTCTGATGTAATACTTCTAAATCACCACCATCTTTACTCATCCCATTGACAGCACCCTCGTAGGGTTATTGGGCTATCGGTTTCTATAACTTAGAACTTTTGAGCATTCATAGGAAGGAGAATAGAAATTCACTAAATTTGGTAAAATGTTCCTAAATGACCCCACGTTCACCTCTGACCCTTCTGAGCCGCATGCCGAGGCCAGGCCTCCGTCACGGAGCAGGGACCCCGGTCATCTGGTTTCTGAGCCGGGCAGGCTGCTCCCAGGCTCGCTCCACCGCGGTCTCTGAGCCTCTGTCCGGTCCCGCTCAGGCAGCCCCGAGCCAGCACTGGAGCCCCCCAGAGTCTTCAGAACCAGCACACCTGGTGGCCCGTTCAAGACCATAACAGAGCACCCCCCGTCAGCCCCACAGGCAGCACCCCCTCAGGGCGGTCTCAGCGGGCCCCGGGCCCCACTGGGCTCAGCCTGCTCCAATGGGCTCAGCCCCTGCCTGGCAGCTCATAGGTGATGGTCACGGCCGATGCTCACAGACACTGTCTATGGGTCAATCCCAGCCACACACATGCCAACAGCAAACAAGGTTCACCCACCACAGGAGGGAGCACACGACCCACTGGGGGCACTCCTGCCTGCCTGGCTCAGGGGTCCAGGGAGACGGCACCCCTGGCTTCACGGGAAACCTACCCCCTGTACCCCCTGTATCTCCTGTACCCCTGTACCTCCTGTACCCCCTGTATCCCCTGTATCCCTGTACCCCCTGTGCCCCCTGTGCCCCCTGTACCTCCTGTGCCCCCTGTACCTCCTGTACCCCCATACCTCCTGTGCCCCCTGTACCTCCTGTACCCCCTGTACCTCCTGTACCCCCTGTACCTCCTGTACCCCCTGTATCCCCTGTATCCCTGTACCCCCTGTGCCCCCTGTACCTCCTGTGCCCCCTGTACCTCCTGTACCCCCTGTGCCCCCTGTACCTCCTGTGCCCCCGTACCTCCTGTACCCCCTGTGCCCCCTGTACCTCCTGCCCCTGAACCCCGTACCCATACCTCCTGTGCCCCCTGTACCTCCTGTACCCCCTGTACCTCCTGTACCCCCTGTATCCCCTGTGCCCACGATCAGAAACAACAAAGCAGTGTGCCACCTGCTAAGCACGTGTTTGCTTCTGGGGAGATGAAGGCAGGCCATTTGGATTCGGATGGTCACGGGCCCATCTGGGAGATTTGGAAGCCGAAACGCGGGGCTTCATGTGCCAGGCGGAGGAACTCGGCCCCCTGCGGCCCGATCCCGCCCCCCCGTCCTCCTGAAACCGCACTTTCCCTGCCCACGACGTCCCTCCAGGAGTCTCTGCCCCAACCAGGGGACGAGGACTCTGCGGAGCCACCAGCCTGACACACGACTCTCTGCAGAGGGGGAGCCTGTGTCCACCACAGCGAGCCTGTGACCACCAAGCCACCAGCTCACAGGGCTGCACAGTCACTGACTGCCAGTGGGGGCGTTTCTGTTCCGACAGGGGTGCGTGGGGTGCAGCTCTTGGAACCCACATGTGGCTGGGCTAGCAGGCTCCTCTCTCCCTTCAACCTTCCTTTGCTGCCCCACGAACCTCGCTGAGCAGTATCCTAAGAGGCCGCCCCCCTCCACCCCCCCCCCCCCCCCGCCCGGGCGGCCCAGACCCTGGGGCCCAGGCAGGCTGGAGACCTTGCTTCCCGGGGGGTAATGTTTTCTCCAGCACTCGCCTCTCCTGCCGCAGGGGGCCGTTCCCGCCGGCTCGGCTGTTTCCCTGGGCCCGCTGCCCCGTTTGGTGGTTTCCTGAGGCTCTGAGGACGCCAGGAGGTGAGGGAAGGGCTCGGATGGGCTCAGCCACTGGCCAGACAGGCGGTGATGGATGAGCCCTCTCGCGGTCCCAGGCGGCAGCTGCTAAGTGTTTCCAGCGTGAACAGCGCGGGAATGCCCAGCGGGGTCCCACTCCTCTGCGCTCTCTGCGCTGATCTTAAGGGACATTCCCGGCTGCAACGCCCCCTCTTTCTAGAAATCCAGCTACGCCCGAGACAAACCCAGACGTGTGTGGTTCGAACTGCCTTAGGGAAGCGTCAGAGGAGAGGGTGGGAAGGGGGGTCTTTGAAAACATCCCTTTCGAGCTGTTTCCCGCGGGAGCACTGGAAGGCAGGGTGGCCTTTCTCTTCCCCAGTGGCCTCCTGGCCGCTGGCTGTGGGGAAGCACCGCGCGTGGCTTCCTCCTGGAAGGAGCGGCCGACAGCCCTGCGCTGAGGAGGCCGGGCGGCTCGGTCCCCCTGCAGACGTCCTTGAGCCCCGGAGACGGAAGTGAGCGGGGTTTTCACTCCTCATGCAAAACAACCGTCTAAACATAATAGATGACATCAGCGAGGGCTTTTCAGTTCCTGGATGGCAGCGGCGAGCTAACCCGGCTTCATCCTGGGTTTCCAAACCGAAACGACAGCCTGGCAGGGACGCAGAGGCCGCTGCCTGAGGGGACCTGCCGGAGGCCGGGGCGACCAGCGCACCTAAAACCCGCACGTGGGCACGGGCTCGGCTCGGCTCAGCTCCCCTGGGCGCCAGCCAGGACCCCACCAGGAGGAGGAGGAGCCCAGCCCCCGGGAAGCATGCGGGCCTGCCTGCTGCTGCTGGCCACACTCCTGGTCCCCGCGCCCCTGGTCCCCGCGCCCCTGGTGCCCGCGCCCCCGGCCCGGAGCAGCGGGTACGCGGTGGACTGCCCGCAGCGCTGCGACGCCCCGTGCGCCAGCGGCCGGCGCTGCCCGAGGACGGTGCTGGACGACTGCGGCTGCTGCCGCGTCTGCGCGGCCGAGCGCGGGCACACCTGCTACCGCACCGTCGTGGGCATGGACGGCGCCAAGTGCGGCCCGGGCCTGAGGTGCCAGTTCTACAGCGAGGAGGATGCCTTCGGCGACGAGTACGGCATCTGCAAAGGTAAAGGGCCCCGGCTGCTCCCCGCCCGGAGCGTACGGGGCGAAGCCAGCTGGGAGGTGGGGGCCTCTTTGCCCGAGGACCCGAGGGGACAGGTGGGTGAGGGCCAGGCCAGGCAGGCATGTCACAGGGACAGGGAGCGGGAGACGGTGCTGCCTTCTTGGTGGGACCCTCGGGAGCCGGCAGGTAACCTCGCTGGGCGCCCGGTGCTCTCCTGCCGGCAGTGACTGCCAGGTGACATGGGTGCCCTCGGGGAGGGCTGCCCGGCCCCGCTTTAGGGACTCTGTGATTCTGAAAGGTCCCGGGACGGAGGGCATCTCTCAAGATGAGTGTTTCCGACGAACCCGATGCGCCCTGTGAGCCAGGGGTTTCCTCCCCTGACAGCACAGCTCCCCTTGGAGGAGGGGCCCCGAAGCAGGGAGCACCCCTCCTCCCACCTGGTTAGGGGCTCCGGTCGTCTGGGAAGATAGCAGGTGGAGTAAAACAGGCAGACATAACACCGGGAAAGAGAAGGCGGACTTCTGTAAGGATGAGGCTGACAGCCTCACAGCCTGACAGTAAGTGGTCAGGTTACCACGGCCGCTAAGGACGGGCCAAGCATTTGCAGAATTCTCCTCAAACGTCGTGGTTATGGCTTAAAATGTCTAACATGTTGAGAATCGGAAGAAGGACCTACGGGTCCCTCGTGTTCGCACCATTAAGAGCTGTTATTAAGAGGCACCAGATGCTGTCGCACGGCCATCAGTGTTGTAACACCAGGGAGCTTTAACGTTACTAAGGGGACGGGGAAATGTCTGGGAACGCTGACGTTTCATGTATTGGGTACAACTGTGTGCTTTTACGACTGGTAACCAGGCATCAGAACTGAGTCATTAATTCTCCTACCTCGTGGACAAATACTTTACAAATGAACCCCCGTTTAATCCGTAAAACATGCTACAGGCTAGGAAACTGCTCGGACTGTCGGGAGCGTTTTATTTGGGGCTTAGTTTAGGTGAAAGGTAGACGGGCGAGGACATCTTTTCTCAGCCACAGACAGTCCTCGCCGCAGGAAACTCGGGGGGCAGCGGCCAGCAGCCCTGCCGGGCGTCGGGGGGCAGACGGCGCCCGCCTTTCTCCTGGCAGCAGCCTCCTGTGCAGATGGTGTGAACGTGCCCTCGGACGGGCAGGGACTCAGGCTGCCAGGCACCGGGCCTCGAGCGCTCTCGTGCCCCCGAGTGGCCGAGTCGCTGTGGACGCGGTGCATCTTAGAGAGACGGGGGGGATGGCTCTTTGGCATCGCCCTCCAGGCACAGGCCTGTGTCACCAGAGCGCTCCTCCCTCTGCCGGAGCCGGAGCCTGTGAGCCCCCCAGGCTGGAGAGAGGCCCTCCCTCCGTGCGCTTGGCTGCAGGCAGCCCTGCCTCAGCCTCTTAGGGACCAGTGCTCACACGGACACTGCACGCACAGCGGCCTGTCAGATCCTTCTGAACACCCGTGTGTTTGGCGCTGTGTTGCCAGGTAACAGGCAGCCGCTGACACATGTCTGTTGAACACCCAGGACCTCTGCTCCGGGTTACACAGACGCGCACGGGGCTGTGGCTCAGGTTTCAGTTCCCAGCGTCACCAAGACCGCTGAGCCCAGCCGTGCTTCCCCGGGCGGCGTCTCAGCGCCCCCTGGAGGGCTCTCCGGCGCCCGGCTTGCAGCAGGGTCCCCGCACCTGACCCTGTGTGAGCCCTGCCTCTCCCACCTGCATCTCCCCCAGATCCATCCTGACACCTCCCTGCCCCTCCTCGGGGCGCAGCCTCCTCCTGTCTCTGCCGGGTGGGTGTGCGCTGACCAGGGGTCCCTGCACCAGGAGGCAGGCTCTGCCTGTCACGCGTGGCTGTGCTGGGGCCTTTGTCCCGTCAGAGCCACACGCCTTTCACATGGGAACTCGACCTCCCCGGCTCAGCCCCGCGCAGGGCCAGCACCCGAGGCGCCCCTCCGCCCGCAGTCCGTGGTTTCACGTTTGCTTATGGCTCTGTTTATTGGGTGGCGTTGTTCATGACAGCGTACAGTTCCCAGGGTACAGCTCTACAACCCATCGCCTGTACGTTGTGGTGTGTGTTCACCACCCCCCATCTCATCCCCTGCCATCACCATTCGCCTGCCTCGCCCTCCCCCTTCGCCCTCCCCCTTGCCCTCCCCCTCGCCCTCCCCCCTCGCCCTTCCCCCTCGCTTGTTCCTCTGCCCGCTGTTGCCTGTGGAGCTTCGGGTAGCTTTTTGCTGACTCCCTTCGCTCTTTCCCCCAGCCCCCAGCGCCCTCCCCATAGCCGCCAGGCTGTTCTGTTTCTCGGAGTCTGGGTCTACTCTGTTGGGTGGTTTATTTAGTTCACTGGCTCCCACACTTGTGACTGACAGTTCAGCGTCCCCAGTCTGCTTCCGAGGACGGGCTTTTACCCGGCAGCCCCGACTCCCGCGGTTTGCTCAGCTCCCAGGCGGTGCCCGCAGGCGTGGGGCGGGCGGTGCGGGAGCCCCTAACCTGCCCTCTGCCCGCAGACTGCCCCTTCGGCACCTTCGGGATGGACTGCAGGGAGACCTGCCGCTGTCCGCTGGGCGTGTGCGACAGGGTGACTGGCCGGTGTCTGCAGCACCCCTTCCTCCAGCATGTGGCCGCCAGGTCCTCCGACAGAGGCGCTCCCCGTGCAGGTGAGCCTGGGCCGGGGACGCGGGCGGGCGTTGCGCTGAGGGTCCGTGTTACCGAGGGGGAGTGGGTTGCTGCTGCTGTTTTTTTTTTAAAAGATCTTATTAATAATTTAGAAGATTATATAATTTCTCATAAAGTTTACCCAGCTTTTATGGAGGATAAACAAGATCAGTTACAACCCTCCCCCCCAAAAAACACGCCCCAAAACACACCTGTAATAAAAAGAAAAACCAACGAAGACAAGAAAGTTCTTGAAACTCTTCAGTGCCTGTCTGATGGACGTGCTACCCCTGGTCGGCAAACTGTGGCTCGTGAGCCACACGCGGTTCTTGGGCCCCTTGAGTGTGGCTCTTCCACAAAATACCACGTGCGGGCACACACGTACAGTGCGATTGAAACTTCGTGGCCCATGCGCAGAAGTCGGTATTTTGTGGAAGAGCCACACTCAAGGGGCCAAAGAGCCGCGTGTGGCTCGCAGTTTGCCGACCACTCTGCTAGACAAAGCCGCTCCTCCCAGCTCCCCTGCAAGGACTCAGGAAGTCGGGATACGGTCTAAGAGCCGAGAGGGAGCCCAGAAAACACGTTTCAGCCAAATGGAAGCATTTAGTGGCGTAACTCCGAGCGTGTTTTCTGTGGCCCTTGGAGAGGAGCAGAGAGGCGTCTGTGGCTGGAACTTGGGGATCGTCTCTGACCCTCGGCGCGGGAGGCGGTCCTCACAGGCCGCTCGCCAGCCCACGGCGTCTCTTACCGGGTCGTGGGAACACAGCCTGGGCCGCGCGCCCCGCACGGCTTGGTTTTCTTGTTGAATAAATGTCCGGTCCAGTCCAGCTTCGATGGAAAGTAGCTCATTTAAAACGACATGTAGCCACAGAAGTAGTATCAGTAACCTCCCCCCCCCCCGCCCTTGTATTTAAATACTTGACAATCCAAAGCCACTTTATTTAGGGTTTTTTCCTGGCCCTTTACAACTCAAATGAATTAGGATTAGAAATCGCTGGCAAATGGGCTGTTTCCCAGCTCCCCCTCCTCACACATGGGTGCAATTCAGCGCCTTACGATTAAGGGAAAATAATGAGCTTTTAATAATGACTATTTTTAAGTATGGCTATGCCCTTAAATATTAGTTTAAAATAAAAACCCTTCTTAACCTATTTGCTGAGTAACGGTGTGACTATCTGATGTGGAAATTTAGATCATTATTAACATTTCAGCTACTTGTGAATTGTCCCTATGGTCCTTGAAAAGCAGAACAGAAATTAAGACCTACATTTTTTTGTGTTGAGGTGGTGTTCACATCACATAAATTAACCGTTTTAAAGTGACGAGTTCCGTGGCATTTGGTCTATTCACAGTGCCGAGTGGCCACCACCTCGAAATGGTCCCAGAACATTGTTCTCAGCCCCCAATACACCCCCCCCTTCCTCACGTTCTCCGTCCACAGCCGCGGCTCTGCGCCCGAGAGGGGTTTGGGAGGTCTGATGTGTTTACTGCGGGGCTCGCACCCGCTGTGTGCGGCTCGCTGCCGAGCGCTTGTGCTGTTTATCTATTTGCTTTCTGAGAACCAGAGGCCAGAGAACCGGGGACACAGCGTCACACCCCTCTGCAGCGTGTAAGGTCGCACCTAAGCTTTTCCACCGAGAGAAACGAGCCCCTCGGGAGCCTCTGAGGTTGGGGATGGGCGTGGGGGATGCCGACAAGGGCCCCTCCCGGCGCCCACCTGTGTCCGCCCCGCACAGCGCGTCCCCCCACAGGGCGCGTGCAGGCTCCGCCCGCAGCCTCGCGAGTGTGGACACCGTGGCCGCTGTACCGACAGGCGCCTCGGGAGCATTCTGCAGGACGGAAGTGACATGACAGTCACACACTCTCCCCAAATCCGCTACCAGCTTCTCAGGAGACATGTACGAAGGAAGCATGTTCTGAGCCAAGGAGTTTCCTTGCAGAATTAGCGAAGGAGCTGGCCAGCGTGTAAGCTCGGGCGCCTCAGGCAGCTCAGGGCCGAGAAGGGGTCCCCTAACCGCCTGTGACTGGGCGCCCGGAGCCCGCAAGCAGCTGTGCCTTTCCTGGCGGGGCTTTCGGGGGCTCCCACGCTGCGGTTCCCAGGAGGGGGTTTGGGGCCAGGGTCCTGTCCGGGCTTCACGTCGCCTCTGCACAGGCTGTGTGGGCTCCGAGGGTCACCGCACAGGGGCCCCCCTCATTCCACCAGGTCGTCGCCTCGACTTCCTACCTGTTGGGTATAACACCCTTGGCAAGGGAGCTTCCTGGCTTCCTCTCCATCTCTCTCTCTCTCTCTCTCTCTCTCTCTCTCTCTCTCTCTCTCCCCCCTTCTCCCCCCCCAGACTGGAAATTCACAGCAACTTTTTGGGGCGCGGGAGGGGTGGCAGCGTCTGAGCTGGTCCGTGGCTCACACACGGCGCCTCCAGCTGCACGAACCTTCCAGGCTCCCGCTTCGCGCGTGCGCTGCTGCTGCCAACACCTGGCTCCCCTCAGAAGCAGGAAACCCCATCCGAGCGCATTCTAAGCATGACATGCTTTTCCCCGGAGAGGAGAGAGATCTGTCTTTGCAGACGTTCGCCCTTCCGTCCGCCGGGAGCCACACCAAGGGCCTCCTCCTCCAGGCCAGGAGCGCTGTTCGCACAGCCCTTGCCGACACGCACGTGTTCATTAAGCACCTGCTACGCTCCCGGCACTGGTGTGGCAACAGGCAGGACGCAGCCCTTGCCGTGGGCTGGTGGTCTGGCGGTGGAGTGAGGGGACACGGAAAGAAGGAGAAAAGACGCGGGCAGTGCACTGTGAGACGATGTCTCGGTGCCAGGTGGGAGGAGAGGCAGCTCAGGGGGAGGCGCGGGTCACAGGGAGTGGAGGGCAGAGCGCAGCCCTGCACGTGCTCAGGGTGTCACTCCTGACCCTGGAGGCCTAACGGTGCGTTTCTCCCGTTTCAGAGCCTGACGCCGGGTCTGGCGACGGCAACGCCGTGACGCAGGACCTCCGGAGCCAGCACGCCGCCCGCTCTCCCGGCACCAAGTGGTTAGAGCCCCGCTGACCCCGCGGGCGCTCCGAGCGAAGACTGTTTGAGTGAGCATCCGACCCCCAGCTGACACTTAGGAACCTCCGCTTGTAGCATAGGCCGTGTACCTTCTGGAGACCAAGCAGGACTCAGGGCGGGCCCAGAAGGAAGAGCAGGCTACTAACACCCGTGCAGCGCCGCCGACGGAACCCTTAGGCTTTGCCACATATTCCAATGCATGCAGCCGTGTCACATTCGCGTGTAGAGTAGTGCTGAAGGACCGGAACGCAGCCAGGCCACGCGGGCAGGTCAGCCGAGGAGACAGCCGCGGCCGAGTCACAGCGCGGCCACGTCCCTCGCCCGGACGCACGTGAACTCTGGGATGCACACCGACGTGTGTCAGGCGGAGGAAGGGCTCGGAGCAAGAGAAGATGGGGTGGGGGGTGGGGGGATGACAGGCGGGTCCTCCTTGTCACTGTATCCATAGAATGTCATTGAGCTTCTTTTCACTTTTGGAAAAACCGAAGCAGAACAGTCCCCGAGGGCTGGGGGCGGCTGCAGCGGGTGGAGTGGGCATGGCAGCCTCGGACGGGGCGCTCCCCGGGCTCAGGAGGCTCCCGGCGCCGGCTCTGGCCGGTGCGCTGGCAGGAAAGGCCGTTAGGCCGCACCCCAGACCGAGGGCCTGGGAAGTATGTGGCCCATTTGGGGGAGGTGTGATGGTCAATATTTATATGTTTTTGTACACGGTTGTTAGTACGAGATATCCCCCACACCGATATTTATCGCCCTCTTGGGAAAATGAACCTAATATTGTTTAAAATGCTTAGAACAAAGATCCAAGGCACGGGAAATTTTTATTAATAATTATAGCAATATTATAGTGAGAAAGCATAATAGGAACCTAGAAAATCGAGTTACTGGATTTACAAAATGTCACAAAATGAGCAACAGAGAGAATTTATTTAAAAGTAAGTGCAGGGACTCTGACAAGTTTTAAACTTAAAGTAGAAAATAGCTTTAAGGGAGGTTTGGAAAGGAGCCAGTTTCACAGGGAATGCCAGCTGTAAAGTCTAGTTCCTTTTGTGCTTTTCACCTTTAAATGCAGTTGATACACGGAATTATGAGCGCCCCTGGGAGGACCTGTGCGCCAACAGCGCTGTTTGCTGGAGTTCGTGGGGAAACATTTGCAGAAGCGTTTCATTTGGAGTAAAGACTTATTTAAGAACTATTTCAATATTTACCTATGTTTTATTCTCAAAGTTTGCCAACAAAGCCGTGAGTGTGTGTGTCGAACGGTCTTTGAATGTAAACGGAATAAGCTGTTAGAATTTGTTTTTTAAGGGACATGTTTATGATTGTTCAATAAAAAAGCAAGACGGTGTTCTGAGTCCATTTGTGATTTTGTTAAATCGTTAGAAGTTATTTAAATGGTTCGTCCAATGAACCAGAACTCTTTCATACACATGGAAGGGTGAGTTCCTCACCGGAATCTTCTGCTCCAGATAAGCAGCTGGGGTCAAAACCAGCGTATCTACTTCTTTGCCTCCCACTTTTTGTCTGCTTGTGCCTCACAGCTTCCTACCAACGATGTCCCGATGCATGAGCCCATTCTACAGAGGGGAACACAAAGGCGAAGGAGACTCTGTGGTGCTGGGAAGTGGGACGCGCCGAGGTAGGCGACCCTCGGTGCGCGTAAAGGACAGGCGGGCGCTGTTGAGGTTGGAGGGCTGCGCAGCGAGGAGCGCGGAGGTCCCCTCAGCCTGGCGGGCAAGCGATGGACGCGCTTTCAGGGAACTGACACAGCACGAAGACACTTTTTTCTGTATTAGGGGAAACACCCAGTTTGCCTGAATTAATCTCCCCCCGCCCTTTTAAAAAAATCCTCCCCTGAGGACACTTTTCCCATTGATTTTTAGACAGTGGAAGAGAGAGGGAAAGACAGAAACATCGATGTGAGGGAGACATATGGATTGGTTGCCTCCTGCATGCGCCCGACCAGGGCCGGGCCGGGGAGGAGCCTGCAACCGAGGTACATGCCCTTCACCGGAATCGAACCTGGGTCGGGACTCTTCGGTCCGCAGGCCGACGCTCTATCCACTGAGCCCAACAGGCAGGGCTCTTTGTCCTTTTTCTTGAGGTGGGAGAACGGTGTGAGTGAGCGACAGTCACACTCAGGCAAGAGGCAGAGTTATCACCAATAGGAGCGGAAAGCACCGGAAGTCTTGGCCTGCAGGCTGGGCAGTGCCGTTGCAGGATGTGCTCTCAAGGAGTGAGGTCACTGACAGATCTGCTGCCGTGGCCAGAGGCCTGGCCTCAGCCCAGTGCCCTGAGGGGTGGTGGGGACCGTGGGGCAGAAGCTAGACGAGGAGGGGTTGGCTTCTGCCCCCCGCATGGCACCCGCCACCTGTGAGACCTTGGGCAGTAAAGTCAAACCAAGGCGGGCTCACCTGTTCTCAGGGGCAGAGGAGTCTCCAGCTGCCCAGCTTCATGCCCGGGGCCCCGTGCCCTTCCCTCCGGGTGCTGGTGTCTGCCCGTCCCGAACGGCTCTGCAGTCTTCCGACTATTCTTCACAGCAGTGGTCTCCACATGTTTGGATTCTGCATGCTTTGATGGCAATATTTTTTGAGCATGTGATTTTAAACTAGATACACAGCATAGTCTTAATACAATATCTATAATAAAATAAAAGCACAATATGCTAATTAGACCAGACAGCCAAATGCCTTGCACGAATTTTGTGCACCGGGCCTCTAGTGCTCATCATAAAACACTCAAGCTAGGAACTTTTAAAAGCCATACAAGATAAATGTAAACAGTAGTTCTGAAATTTTTTTTCCTGAACCCCATGGATCAATCTGGGAAACACCAGAGAGCAAAGGAAAATGCCAAGGTCAGTGGTCTCCAATGAGGCCCAACTTCATTGATACTGAAGAGAAAGCAAGTGGGCATATATTCCATGTAATAAATACTTCTGCAATGAATGGGTGAATGCATGAGAGGAAGGATAAATGGGTAGATAGGTAGGTAAAGGGATGAATGAGAAGAGGGATGGACAGATGGGAAGAGGAATGGAGGGATAGATGGATGGACAGACAGATGGACGGACAGATGGATGGATGGGAAGAGGATGGATAGATGGATGGACAGACAGATGGACGGATGGATGGATGGATAGATGGATGGACAGACAGATGGATGGATGGATGGATGGATGGATGGGTAGATGGATGGACAGACAGATGGACAGACAGATGGGATGGATGGGCAGAGGGATGGATGGATGGATGGGAAGAGGATGGATAGATGGATGGATGGACAGATGGACGGACGGATGGATGGGGAGAGGATGGATGGATGGAAGAATGAAACAGGTGACAGGCCTCTGTCTCCCACAGAACAGCAGCTACTAAGGGGTCTTTCACCTGCCAGCTCCCTGTCCCCTTGACGGCTGCTTGTCCTGCCTCCTGGGACATGAGTGACTGAACACTGTGAGCATACGATCGAGTCAGTAAAGTGGACAAGTAGGTTGGCCAGGGGAGCTCTGCTCCCTCAGGCATTGGGGACACCCTCCCTTCCCCACCATCAAGGTGCAGACACCTTGCTTTACATGACTCCCTTCCCCCCAGTTGGAGAGCAGCTGTTTTCTAAAGTGACACCTTCATTGGGTTTCCCCCCAAACATTCACCTTCGTGTCCATGGAAACAATTGCCTCTTCGCATGGCTGGACACTGAGCGGCCTTGGTGAGCTTCTACTGCAGCCGCTGGCCGTGCAGGTGCACCCAGGGGGCTCCTCGCGCGTCTCCAGGGGCACCCGGAGGCAGTGGGTACCAGGTGACGGAGACGCGCCGTGATTTCAGCAGACGGTCACGGGGAGGCTGCCTGCGCGTCTCCACTGTATGGTGAGTGGAAACGCCTGCTGCAATGCCCTCTGAATAAGCTTCTTTTGGGAAAAAATACACAAATATAGAGATATTCATATTGGTGCTTATCTTGTTCTTTATATTTTTAGCTAGTTCCTGGAAACTTCAGTGAGTGTGACAATTGGGAAAAAAAAATAAAGCTCCCTCCATTTTTGAGCATTTACGTTGAAACACACGAAAACAAAGCAGCCGTTCGCTACATACATAGTGACGTGGGAACAGAACCCTGTATTTCAGTCGTTTTGAGATGGCCTTTGTCATCTGGGCACTTCGGTAGATATCGAAATAGGGTTCTAAACCAAGTAAACGTAGAGAATCGTGGTTTCCTTATAACCCCCAGGAAGGCTGCCAGGCACGGAGCACGCGTGGCACCTCTTCTGGAACAAATGCTTGGTCCCACGGAAGCCAGGGCAGGGAGTCCTCGGAAGGGAGGGAGGACGGTCCCTGCATCTAAGCTCACGCCTTACAATGCAGTGACCTCTGCTCCTGCCCAGGTGTGGAGCCCGAGCGGGCGGCCAGGCCACCAGCGCGTTGGATTTTTAAAAAATATATGTTTATTGATTTCAGAGAGGAAGGGAGAGGGAGAGAGAAAGAGAAACATCCATGATGAGAGAGAATCATGGATCGGCCGCCTCCTGCACACCCCACACTGGGCATCGAGCCTGCAACCCCGGGCAAGTGCCCCGACCGGGAATGGAACCGTGACCCCCTGGCTCCTAGGTGGACGCCCAGTGGCTGGCCACCAGGGTTTTAAGGCATTTCCTGACACCTGGGGAGTTGGCAAACATTTCCTGTGTTTGTTGCGTCTCGAGAAAACAGGAATGCACAGCGTGGAAGTGATTATTAAACACACGTCGGGGTGACCCCCACGTCGGCAGTTCCCAGGGTGAGGTTCATGCTCTTAAACCCGATCATCCCGTTTCTCTGAAGGGAGGGGGGTCACCGGCATAGCGATCGGCCGCCGACCGAGTGGTGGGAGGGACCCTGCGGCCGGGCTGCGCAGCGCGGTCAGGATGGTACCAGAAGCCCAAGGGCTGACCCTGAACAGCAGCTCACGGAGACAGGGAGCCACACGTGCCTGTGGATGGCTCTGTGCCCACGGCAGAGCTCCCCGTGTGAAAGACCCTCTGCTGACCTCAGGTCCCAGGAGAGGCCCCGCGAGCCTGTGTCGGTGGAGCCGGGATGCGCTCCCACGAGCTGGCTGGGCGGTGGCTCCGGGCGTCCCCTGTGCCGGGTGGGCGGCAGCTCCCGTGCGGAGCGGAAGGGCCTTTGCCCATGTTCTGTGCTGGAATTCTGTGTTGTCACTGAGTCTGACGTACGTATGCTCAGCTTTCCAACGATGGCAGGCAACGGAGGTGGTACCACGTGAGCAGCCTCACGCTTTTGGGATTTCAGGTGTCCGTCATGTGCTGCCAGGCTGGACCAGGGGAGCCTTGAACGTGTCCCGTTAAAGACGAATTCTTAAGGGCACCGGAGAGCGCCCCTAGCTCCTGGACGGGGCTGAGGCTGCCGTGAGAGGGACCGAGTGACCAGTGACAGTCAGTGAGCATCATCTGTCACCTCCCGCGCCCACCACAGAGATGACCGTTCCTACAGGACAAACAATGTTCTATTTCAGTCTGCAGCAGCCTGAGCCTGCGCTGGACACAGCACAATGCTGCCGGGCCGGGGCCTGCGGAGGGGGGGGGGGGGGGGGCAGGGGGCAGACGGGCACTTCCCCGCTATTTTTAGTGGCCGATTCCTGCCTTTTATTTTGGGACTTGGCCGCTTCCTTCGCGGCTTCCCCTCTGGCGCGTACCCCTCTTCCTTACATGGGGCCTGCGCCGCCTTTTCCCACCTTCGCAGGAAGCCCTGGAATGCGGCTCCGGAAGCGCCGCCGGCCTTGGCACCGCGGAGCCCGGGCTCGAAAACAACCGAGAAACTCAGGTCGCGGACGACTTTCTAGTATTTAGTGAATCGGACCCTCAGCCGGTCCCAGGCCAGCGATCGGCAGGCGCTGATCACCTTCTTCACTGACTCGTCTCGTGCCTGTAGACGCTGGGGGATTTGAACATGGACCGTGTCGTCGATAGATTTAGACGGGAGCAAAGCCCGGAGTAGAAAGTGGGAAGGAATCCAGCAGGTCCATTTGGGGCGAGTTCACCGTTGTCTCCATCAGTTAGGGGTCCCCAGGGGCAGAGCGAGGGGTGCGAGGGTACGTGTCTTTATACCGGCCGGCGTGGCTCCGTGGTTGAGCGTCGACCTATGAACCAGGAGTTCAGGGTTCGATTCCCAGTCAGGGCACAGGCCGGGTTGTGGGCTCGATCCCCAGGAGGGGCGTGCAGGAGGCAGCCCATCCATGATTCTCTCCCATCATTGATGCTTCTATCTCTCTCTCCCTCTCCCTTCCTCTCTGAAATCAGTAAAATATATTTAAAAAGTGAAAAAACACAAAGAGCCCAGAGAGACAGTGGGATGGACA